TTTTTATGTCTGTAATGTATGTTTACACATTTTTGCTTGCTGGATCCCATTTATTTTCACATTAACCTTTTATGTCTGTTTGGGATGCTCACCCAATTTTGTCAATATCAAGACTATAAACAACTGCCATACAAGTAGACGGTTTAACCCACCATTTTTTTTTTAGGAAAATGCTTGATGAGGAAGTCAAACATTTGGTTTTGTAAGTTTTTATGGACTCCCCCCTTTTTGAATTTATCATTGAGTTCGGTATTTTTGCTATACTTTTTTTCATCATAATCATTCGAAAAAAAAATAAAATACGGACACTCATGCAAAATCGGAAAAAATCTTTATCACTTAACAAATGATTACATATGAAAACAGCAAGTTATAAATGTCATGCGACCGAAGCGCTATTCTGGATTTATCTTCACCAGGAACGCCCAAAGCCGAATATTTGAAGTGTTTCTTTCCTCGTTTTTTGAAATTCCACCACACCTTAATCGTGAGAAGATCCAGAATTTCGAGAGTGAATCAGAATTTTATACCCCAATGCTTCAACTCTACAGTCAATTGTACTGTGATAATGTTCTAAAGCTGAAAGGCTAAACAAATATATGATTTTAATCCATAATTTATAAATCTAAAACGTCCGAAAATACTAATAATGTATTTAATATTTGTTTAACGCAAAAACAAAATAGAAATAGAAAAGATGTTTATCAAAATACAATGTTTCAACGTGCAATAATTTCTTCTATATTTGAAGATATATTGTATATTTCAATCGAAATGTATTTTTGCAAAATTGCGAATATTGGGAAGATGGTTATTTCTGTTCATATTACGTGGGTTGTATAAGTTGCCGTCAAAAAAGTAAATATCGTTCAAGGAAAGAAAGAGCTATATGACTGAATGCATATTTGTTAATTCCGGATTTGTAAAAAAAAACCAAAAAGCATATGATATCGATTTCATTACGGACGACACTTGTTTTATGGAATAAACTTAATCTTGTTCAGAAACAATCGATGCCATATATTTGAACAGATAAACTTTAAAACATTTGAGAGCTTTAAAACCATAGTGCCGTGACAAAACATAAACACCAGTGTTTCAACCATTTCTTTGGTCTTTGGGGGATAGGCAGTCATGCCAAGTTTCCTTATTTTTAAGTTGAGTATTGACTGGAATAATTTCAACCTGAGGTTTAGTGCAATTGAATAATGCATTCACGTGAGTTTTACAGACAAAATGTGTTATTTATAATACCAGTACCGAAATGCTTGGTACTAGGCGAATAAATCAATCCAAATTAATGCATGGGCACGTTTTTGGTTATGTGCAATTAAGACTTCTTCATTAGTGTTGAATCTATATATCATATCATATTAAATCCGATAAAGAGACGTTTATGAATGAAGTTACAGGATTAATAAATATATGAAATTTGTATTCATTTAGTGTTTAGTATAACTGTCCTTACTCTTAGTTCCATACACTTGATGACTTTTCATGAAACATCTGTGTTTCTGGAAACCTGGTACATGACTGCTTGCTTGAAATTATTCAGTTACATTCTTATAAACAATTGATTTGAACGTATTCGCAATTCATTGAATAAAGTAGCATATTACAAAAAAACTGCAACTTCCGAAAAAAAAAGATAACTTAACTATAAAAATTCTATAAATGGATATCATTGAAGAAGATAAGCGAAAGATACCAAAGGGATATTCAAACTCATAAGTCGGTGATAAAATGACAACGCCATGGCAAAAAACGAAAAACGACCAAAATACAAACAACAGTATACAAAACACAACATAAAAACTAAAGACTGAGCAACACGAGCACCACCAAGAAAACGGGATTGATCGCAGGTGCTCTAGAAGGGTAAGCAAATCCTGCTCCACATGTGGTACCTGTCGTGGTGCTCGTGTAAGTACATACTCTGTAATAAGTCTAATTTGCGATGTCACATAAGAGTAAAAGAGGACGGGTTTATAGTCATCTGGGAAACAGATATTCCATAACAATCAACCAACTCGTGATGGTGGTCGTAAATTTTCGAAGTGATTACTTCAACTTACTTACTTGGAACTATAGTTCAATAGCTTTTTTGTAAGCAGCAACCCTCTATCAAAGGAATCTTGATACGATTCTTATCAACTGGGAGATATGTACGATCAGTACTCGATGTGCGGGCGCTGCTCGAGTGTAGCTTTATAGAAATGGCAAGTTCACCTGGGAACCTAAAATGTTCTCTGTTGTCGTAAAGTGTTGTGCTCAACTTATTGTCAATTTTAGATGTTGTCAAGATATGAAGCAGACTTAACTGTATATGTTGTATCATTTATTCTTCCTAAGAAGCTCCTGTATGAAGTCTGCCTCATACGAATAAAGTCGGCAAAAAGAACACTTTCGAGATTGCAGTTTTTAGATTTATCAATACATGTTCAGAAATACAGCATAATTTTGTAACCTTAAAATTGTCATACTGTTAAATTTAATTATAATTGAAGATCTTTTAAAAAAGACCCTTATTTGAACTGAAGTTGTACACTCGGGGAACATTGACCCTATCTGCTTTACCTGAGAAGCTTCCTCAGTAAATATAAAAATAATATGGCAGTACAAAGCGGCTTAACTCAATTTTATTTTCCTGCGGTAATCAAGGTTACCTAAGATCAATTAAAAAATAATAATTAGCAGAATTCGGAGCATTCCTCTCTTAAGCATTAAAGTAGTCTGTATTTTGATTTATCTTTAAGATATTAATAAACTCATATTTCTCAATTCAAATATATCGAGACGTTTACAGAAGAGACATTGACAGTGCTAGCTAGTATAAGTAGATGTATGTGCCTGTTTCAATATGTAGTTTGTTTATATAATGCCGTATATTATACTTAAATGCATAGATGCATGACAATCAACGTCTGGCAAAGCAGCTGATAAGAAGAGTGGGCTTTTCTTCCGTCTTTAAAGCCCCATTATGACATGTGAGACGTACGAAGGCAATTAGAGGGTTGTTCCTCCGCTTTGGGTTAAATCTTATTGATACGATATTCCAAGGCTTTGCGTTTCCGAGAGTGATTTCCTTGATAGAGGTTGATGCTAACAGGAACTATTGAACCAAATGTTCTATTAGTTGCAGTAACACATGACGTTCCGCTTGACGAAACCACGATCCCGTTATTTTTATTTATTCACTGAAGCAGAACTATTACCGGATTTCTACTTGAATTTAGCAACATGACGAGTGCCCCTAGTGAAACAGGAATTGCTTACTATTCCGGAGTACATTTCACACTAGGTTTAATGTGAGTTTCGTGTTGCTCATTCTTTACTTCACCGTGCATTGTTTCGTTTAAAGTTGTTTGTCCCAGTATTTGTTTTTGTCATGGTGTTTTCTGTATCGAGATGGGAGGCATTGAACAATGGATGTCAATGTTGTTTGAAATAGTTTTTTTTTTCACCAGAGAAATATGATTGTTAAAAACGATGATTAATAAGCACCCAATGTTAAGAAGTCAAATGTCTTTTTTTATGTTAATGAATAGTGAAGAAAAAGAAGATGAATATAAAAGTACGATAGCGTTCATTGCAAACAAACAAGCAAGACAAAACTCGGCCATAGTAATACAATGCTACTAGTTGCCTTTCTTCGGTTCTATTGAATTTGATTGTTTGTGACAGTAAGTTTGTCAATCCCACCTTTGAAGTTCGATATTTTTCTACCAAATGGCAGTTTGCATCATTGAACCAAACTGATCACTTATCGAATAATGCATCAAATTCTACAGGAAGACTGGACAAAGTCTGTAAGGAAGTAGAGCAACTGCAAAATGCCGATTACTTACCTTTAGACTGACTGTGTGACTTTAAAATTACACAGGTGGTGAATTGGAAGTGGCTAATTGTATGGTCAGATTAATAGTGAAGTTCACACAAGTGGATTACTATTATAGTGTCATTTTATAATTACTTTTTCAAACACCTTTTTGCTAATTCACAAATTTACAAATGAGTAAGCTCCGGCAATCGCATCAATTTGGAATGTTTACTACATATAAAGGCGCTGCTTGATGCACACAGAAAGTTCTCAACTCGATAATGTTGATTCATTTTCAATTATAAAAATTTCAATATCACGCCTTTGTTCTGGGTAGAACTAATAGTTCAGTTATTCTTCCTGTATACTAGCTGAAGTCTTGATGCAGCAGTTAGATATTCATTTTAACTTTTTTATATCTTACAAACTAAAGGTGAATTGATTTTTTTATTCTTATGCAAAGGCAAAACCCCGACAATACTTTAAGTCAAGTCATAATAATATTACAAAGTCGTAACTACCATTGAGGCAAGTGAGGCAATTGCCTCACTAAAATTTCGACACTTTCTTTTCTTTGTAAAAGTTGAAAAGTATATTAATTTCATTGACATCTTATTTTAAGGATAATACCAATTTCAGTAGTTTTCTAATAAACTTCACAAAAAGGTTGGCAACACAAATATGAAAGGAAAAACTTCGTGTCTCATATTTGTTGTGACGACATCATTATATTTCAAAGCTAACAATGGGACAAAAACGTTGGCCGATTTAATCAACGTAACTATTGTGGACGAAAAAAAATTAATCCGTGTCTTTTTATAAAGTCGTAAATCAACTTCCCATATATGTAATTATTTGTTTTTCGTAAATAGTTTTGTTATAAATTCGGCCTTTAGTTTTCTCGTTTGAATTGTTTCACATTTTTCATGCCGGGGCCTTTTACAGCTGACTTACGGTATTTTTTAAGGCCGCACGGTTGCCAATAATTGCTTTCATTCACTTCATTTGAACTCTGGTGGATAGTTGTCTCATTGGCAATCATACCACATCTCCTTTTTTTTATACTGGGTTTATCAGTTCTACCTATGCTATAGAATGTGTGCAAAATGCTGTGACGAATACTCCTGCGAATAAACTGAAATAAAGATATTAAAATTGTTATGAGAAAATTAATACAAAACACATATAAATATGTATTTGATCTAGGCGTCAAATAATATGAATTGAGATTCAAATTTCATCGATAATGCATTTCCTGCTATACACGTATCTCTACATTGTCGGATTTAATTTCCAAAGCGGAGTTGACAGCTTTGTCCTCGGGTGTCTCTGTACTTGAACTTTTCTTATATTTTCTATATAGTTTCATTCTTTCCACTAACCTATAAATTCCTAAAAAGACTAAGCTACAAAGTATACATGTTACACCATAAAGTAATGGAAACAGAGAAATTTCTGCAAACACGTCATTGGAATATGTCAACGTTAACAAGCTCATACAAAGCGGGAAATTTTGTATACCCGTCTCCAAGGCAATTGTCCTACATCTCACGTGATCCTGGCGTAGAAGTAGCGCTACTAGGTACCCGAAAAGAAAACCAGCAAACGGGAGAATTAGTGTACCAATATATATCCTCCATGTTGAATGATACATGAAGGGATATTGTATACTAAGTAAAGTAAGAAGCAATAGTATTGCTAATGCACCTGCCACAGATCCAATCTGAAAAAACATGAAATAACAATATTAAAACTATTCACTAAAAGCTTCTTCTTACAAAAGATTGATTTGTCACGTATTAAAAATATTTTTTTTTATTGTCACGAATATTTTGTTTCCAACATAACTTTTATCTACAATACATTGATTTATTGTCGGTTTTGGAGTTTCTGTTACTCGAATGTATATATTTATACTTCTATAAAGAGTATTAATGGAATTGTTTTAATTAGCTGAAGTAGGATTTTCTTTGTTTTCCCATATTTTGTTATGTCATTGATGATGTTAGATGTTCTTATGTCGATATGCATTCAAGCCTTGAGTTGAAACATACCTGTCCATCACTCAACCTGTGGCATTATCTATCTATCCGGTATACAAGTGCATGTTTCACAATGACGATATTACTGACAGGTGGTTGATGTAGTCGAGCATTTGATTTTGTCTGGATTTATGTACTTTAGAATTTACCTTGGAGTTCGATATTTGTGTTAATACCTTTTATATTCTTTTCTCACAAATCTGTTCTAGCAGATAAAGAGAAGACTACCACAGTATATACGCTATAACGGCAAGTTAGATGACCCCTTACACACTATATAATAATGTAATTTGTATTACATGAAAAGTAATGACCATTAAGCAGGAAACGCTTACTATCTATAGACGAACTGAAATTCTACAACAAGAAAAAAACGGAATTGAGTCACCTGTTAAGGCAAGTATCATCGGGACTATTTAAATTTAAACTGAACCTAAACACAACCAAACATATCTGGCTAACACATGTTTTACAAACGTGACTTTTGCATGAATTTGATGCAGTTTGAGAAGAATTTTCCACCAATACTAACGATCCTAAACATTTCAAAAAGCCCGGGGATGTGGATGCTTTATTCTCCCTACACAACAAATATGTTGTTGTTCCATCAGACAAAGACCCAAACAATATTGTGTATATATATGTAACACTCCCAAACGTGTCCATCCCCCCAAACGTGTCCGATTCCCCCAAACGTGTCCATTCTCCCCAAACGTGTCCGTTATATTCAATATTGCCCAAACGTGTCCGATTTCATAACCCCCAAACGTGTCCGATAATTGTTTTTCGCCAAAACGTGTCCACTGTTAAACGCCAGAACGTCTCACGTCTTTTAGCGCTAATACATATACAAATGACATCAATAACGTTTACGGCAATTCTATGATGGGGGACATGCACAGTTGATGAAGTGGTCATTTATTATCAATAGTTTGTTCAATGCCGGTTGTTAATGATTATCATAATTGCAAATTTAATCTGTAACATATGAATTAACTTTTGACTGAAATGCAAGTTGCAAGTATTGCATTCTGATTTAGAGCGAACATACAAATAATTTTAGTACAGTTGAATTAATCGTTTACCAAGTGAATTATTTTGTACTAATAAATTCTGATGATGCCTTTTATATTAAACCGAATATTGCACGGCGGGCTTTCCGCAGAATTGACTTCCCTTTTTTCAACAGTTCTGGTATTTTAAAAACTCTTCAAATCAAAAGTTTACTGTTTATCAGGTTTTTTAATAAATTTTAGGTTTCGAGCATCACTAAAGACACACAAACAAGAGACATAACGTCCAGTGCCAAATATTTCATGCATTATTTGAACGATATCATGTTAACAATAAATACTGTACATAGGTTTTATTATCATACCGGGAATTTAGGATTAGGCCTAAATTTTTACGGTTATTCGGGATTAACACTAGTTGGGGTTTTAATCTAAAAATTTAAGAGCCAGTAACAATCAATTTTTTTATGACTTCAGTAAGAAACTACTTCAATCTCCGTTATGTAAGAGGCCGTTTTAAATAAAAGTTGCGGAAATTAAAAAAAAAAGAATGTTGCCTTCCAAAATACAACTGATGGCACCATGAAAGAGTGAATTGCTACACAGGTTTTAATGCGCAGAGAGAGTGACATTCTCCCTACACGAGATATTTGATTTAATATCTACAAATTAACTGAGCATGGCTGCTTACATTTACATCCAACATAGCCGAACATATTGGCACTTTTACCCAGATTATACTGCCGGTTAAAAAAAGACATAAAGTAATTTATTTCTATTTTTTTAATGAAATAGTAAAATGAGTATACGTTAATGAAAAAGCAATAACCAAATTTATAATATGGACACGAATGATAGTTCCAGTAAAGGAAAAAAATTAAGCTTGATATGGACACGTTTGGGGGATTGGACACGTTTGGGGTATTGGGCACGTTTGGGTGTTTATACAAATGACACGCTTTGGCGCCCTTTTACATAAGGACATGTTTTGCAGTTCAGTGACGTCATGTGGACACGTTTGGGGGAATCGGACACGTTTGGGGGGAAGGACACGTTTCTGAGTGTTACATATATGCAAAAATCTTTATTTGGAACGTCTAACTTAAGATCTGTAGAATTCAGAAAAAAAATCTTAAGAGTCCCTCCCACATTTAACCTACGTTATTCACGAAAGAGGAAATTTTAGAAAATCACCACTGAACATCTTTCTCAGGTTTGTACTATAATTCTCTTTACAGGAAAAAGATGGGCTACAGAAATATGGTGATGAGGAATATTCAATCAGTGATGAATCAGAAGTCTTTACAATTTTTCAGTAAGATCAAAAACAATTTCTTAGCTCAACACTGCATTTCCCTCTGCTCAATTGAAAAGACGATTACACCTTCTCGTTAAACAGTGCATTTACTACAAAAAATGTGAATGGTAATTAAAAATTTCTTGCTTAAGGACTAAAACAAATGATGAAAAACCACACTTATTCCGACAACAAATACACCGAAGATAATATCATCAAAATTCTAGACTCTATGATCGAAAACATATTTGTATAAAGACAGTCGGTATTCCAGTGGGTACTAATTGTGAAACCATAATGGCCGACAAGTTTTTTTACTCATATGATGGCCTGTCACTCATTTACCCACATTTCAGTGAGTGCTTGCATCTATTATATCTCAGTGAACTTGAGAATAAGGAAACTACCGAAACTAATAGGTCTACGTCATATCTTGATATTGACACAGATGGTCGAATTCAAACTAGAATAACCCCCAAGGGTGACTGGGGAATAGAAGTATGGTCACCATTGGTCTTCCTCCGACCGGCAATAAAACCCTCGCCAAAGTGGGGCGTCCGTTTTAGCTGTGCGGGATGTACAAAATTGCAGCCACGTCCGGTCAGAATGGTGACGTTAAATCCGATGCCTCGTGTAGAGAGAGTGCCACGCTCTTTGCACGTTAAGAACCCTTGCAACAACTCTTTGAGGGGTCCGTAGGTGACCTGTTGCAAGACTAAATTTCTGTCCCTATCTAATATACCCTCATTTCCCGTGGCAGTCTAAATTTCTCCGACCTTAATCCCGGACGCCCCTATTACAGAACCTACCTTTTGTATTTATTGTTAATTTGTTCTCATCCTGAATATGCATGAAATATTTGCCACTGGACGTTATGCAACCAACAATCAATCAATCAAACTGGAATATATGACAAACGTGGCGATTTTAACTTTCATTTCTTCCATTTCCTATTTCTCAGCAGTAACATACCATCTGGCCGATCGTATGGCGTTTACGTATTCAATTAATACGTTAATATAAAAATAAGGAGATATGGTATGATTGCCAATGAGACAACTATTCACCAAAGTTAAAATGAAGTGGATGTAAGCAATTATAGGCAACCGAACAGCTTTCAACAATGAGAAAAAGGCCATACCGTAGTCGGCTATAAAAGGTCCCAACATAAAAAATATGAAATTCAATTGAGAAAACTAACGGCCTAATTTATAACAAAACAATTAACGAAAAACTAATATGACAGATATGAACCAACGACAACCACTGAACTACAAGCTCCTGACTTGGGGCAGGCACATAATGTATGTGAGCGCTCAACCCTCTACCTAACATGGGACAGTGGTGTAACAGCACAACATAAGAACAAAGTTCGTGCAATTTTATTAAACTTGGGTGCTCCTGTAACACAATCAGTGAAATCGCATGGTGTATGACGCATGCATAGCAGGAGACGCTTACCATGTCGATGCATATCAGTCTCGCTTTTTTTGTAGTTTATGCTATTTTTAATAACCTTGGTTTGTATTTATATGAGATTTGAACATTGGCAAATCACTGTTGTAACCAATGCATGAAACAAGACTGTCGATATTCCCTGAATTAGTCTATCGGCTTTGAATGCGGTCGAATCGCTTATGGTATTTAGACTAAAATGGGATAGTTTCAGTTCATGGAATTGTGGACGGTATATCGCATGCCGAATAATCCAGTTTAATCAATATCAGTCATAGAACCGTAGAACCGAGAACTGATATCGATCGAGGGTTTGTATAGCATATGCACTATACATTTTACCGTGTACTTTCTCAGTTCTTACAAACATGGGTGTGACACAGGGTACGCGATATTAAAAGAAGTGTTATACAGGATATTATATGATCAAAGTTTGATGCATATTTAATACAACAATTTTAACAGCTTAATATTTGTTATTCAATGATGAAGTCCTTGACTCAGATTCATCTTAATTCAAAACGGAAAAAACATCTAGTGGCCTTCAAGCGACATAAACATGTAGAAACATTGTTACCGTATACTATATATGTCCCTTTTGACATAATGATTTGTTACCGAGTGTTATTTTAATTTGCTGCTATTGTTATATTGTTTACTTTTCATAATAAAATATATTTAAGCGATTTTTTTCTGTTGAAAGTTCTTTTATCATTATAAAAAATTATACTACCAGATATATTCGTTGATGACGAAACAAAAGTTGCAATTTCAAATTCGTCATATAATCTCACAGTTCCTAACTTCCCTCTAGGTCAAATGTACTATACATAAAAGTACAGTTATTACTTTTCAAAAAGGAAATCAAGTCTCTTATGAGAATAAATAATACTAATTCACACTGTATTTTAGCGATATTTTTAAACCCCATCACAAAACATTTTGATTAATATTCCACTAATTTTAGCTAAGGATGGCCGCATATTTTTCAGGGTGTATACATACATGTTAACTGGTCAAATTCACTAAATAACAAATAAAAGTCTGCGGCGGAAACCAAAAAATATGTTTAATTCTTTTTTCACTATTTTACATTTAATTTAAATCTTTTAATAAAATAAAAAAAACACCCTTTCAGATCTCTAATACGCACTCTTAATAATACGGCAGAACGTTTCATTGACTCGTATCTTGTATAAATATGTTTACATAGCTTACGAAAGTGTTCCTTTTAATAAAATCGTCATAGATACCAAGACACAAATTGTGTAGGCTCAGACGGGCGTTTTCGTCTACAAAAGACTCACCAGTGACGCTCGAATCAAAGGTTAAAAGATCAAATAAAGTACAATAAACTCATCATAGATACCAGGATTAAAATTTGTACGCCTAACGCGCGTTTCGTTTACAAAAGATTTATCAGTGGCACTCGAATAACAAAAGTTAAAAAGGTCAAATAATGTACGAAGTTGAAGAGCATTGGGGGCCCAAAATTTCCAAAAAGTTTTGCAAAATACAGCTAAGGTAATCTATTCCTGCGGTATACAATCCTTAGTATTTCGGAAAAATTTAAGTTTTGTAAACAGTTAATTTATAATGAAGACCATATCAATGACAATTCATGTCAACAAAGAAGTGCTGACTACTGGACTGGTGATACTCTCGATGAGAAACTCTCTACCAGCAGTGGTATCGACCACAAAGATGTAGAGCATTGAGGACCAAAAATTCCGAAAGGTTTTGCCAAATACAGCTAAGGTAATCTATTCCTGGGGTAGAAAATACTTAGTATTTCGAAAAATTCCAACTTTTGTAAACAGTTAATTTATAATTATGACCATATCAATGATAATTCATGTCAATACAGACGTGCAACAGTCTATCAGATAAAAGTAAAATAACACAAAAACCGAACTCCAAGGAAAATTCAAAACGGAAAGTCCTTTATCAAATGGCAAAATCAAAAGCTCAAACACATCAAACGAATGGAAAACAAATGTCATATTCCTGACTTGGTACAGGTATTTCCTTATGAAGAAAATGGTGGTTTAAAGCTGGTTTTATAGCTAGCTAAACCTCTCACTTATTACAGTCGTATAGAATTCCATTATATTGACAACAATGTGTAAGCAAAACAAACATACATAATAGGTAAAAATGTAAAAAATTGGGGTACAGCAGTCAACATTGTGTTATGAATTTAATTACAAAAAAAAAACTATTTCAACAAAGAAAAACAAAATGGCATGTAGACACTCTATAGACAAAGTACATAAGCAATGAGAGACAAGAATACAAAAATGACCATAGCACAATAATACAATATCGGGATGTATAAATACCGAGCCACGCCAAAAGTATATTACAAAAAGGACTAAACAGTGAAGGTTAAAAATATACAAAGACAAATAAAAAGAACACTATAACACGTAATTAAGATGATAAACAACGTCAGTACCTATATAGCTAGAATCTATACTTCAAGACCATCATGTATTATTTTTGAAGTTGATACGGAATATTTATCAACAAGGTCTTGGTATCTTCCGATGAACTTTTTAAGAAAAAGGGCGAGACGTTCCATGACATAACCCTGGTTCATCACCTTTCTACTCAGACACTGGTGACGTTTTGTAAATTCTACATAAGCAATGAGAGACAAGAATACAAAACTCTTGAATACCAAATGAGTTGGGAAATATATATCCCATATTCAGGTGAGGTTGGTATATTGCTTTTAAGGTGGAGGAAATTTATAATTTCAAAATTAAAAACGTCTCATTTTTCATAGATTCTGGTACTGAGATTACCGCTTATGTCAAATTCGAGGTATAAGTCTAAAAATGAGGCGGAGGAAGCCGTGTCTGTTGTTTCTTTAATTTCTAGTTCTGGAGGATATATTAATGGAACTCTATCAGAAAATTTTGGATTGTTAATGGAAAGAACATCATCAATATATCTGAATGTGAAATCAAATGAAATAAACTGGCATAAAAATCACTACCTGGAGAGTTCAAAGTCAATTATATTGAACGATTCCTAGTTTGTAAGATATATAACTATCAAATATTATTGTACCAATACCAAAGTGATGATGTTTTGCCTTATTATATTGTTGTGGGTAAAAGATAACCGTGGTAGGAGCTCTTCTTCAGTAAATACAACGTAAGTTCCATTATACAATGGCAATACCGAAAAATATAAATATTTTGACGTATGATTAAATAGCTTGCACAAAATCCTTTTCTACATTTTTATTTTAGCCGTTGACTATTTTTCAATAAATGCAGAGATATCCTTTTAGATATCAAAATAGACAGCCCAGTGGGAACCCATTTATAAGATTCTTATTCACCAGGGTAAAATATAAATAAGTGTTTCTCAACCATACATAATGGGAACATGTATCCCTTTCTAAAAAACATTTAGAATCATCAGTCATATATGAATTTTTATCCTGGTATCTACGATGAGTTTATGATGCATAACCTAAAGAACATAAAAGTAGTATGATCATACCTTGACGAGAACATCAGCAACCTTTGAGAATTTCCATCTGATGAAGATTCCAAGAAGAGCCGGTCCTAATGTAAGTCCAAAAGATATAAGTATGTTAACGTATGGTATGATCAAAGGTTGATCTGTCCAGCTCCTGCTGTAGATAAGGAGGTTTAATGGCAACATACCCATGGCAAGAACTGTTGATACAGCTGTCATAGAAATGCTGAAATAAAATGAGCAATCGTATTCATGAATTTGTTATTAATTCAAAAATAATTTCGTCCAGATTTTTTGAAATTATAAAACTGTATGGATTGGTAAATGAATAGCACGTGTGTTTGTATTTCAAATCATATCAACGTATTTTCTTTGTTCAGTAAATTCCTTTTGTTCCAACAATTTATATAGTGCTTTATACTGTCAGTTTGTGTAATTCAATGAAAACATGGAAAGCAAAAATACAAAAAATACTAAAATGTATTATTTAAAAATAAAGTGTATATCCGTGTAGAATTTTAAGGATGCGATTTTTTGCACGATCGTTTTACACTATGATAAGATTAATACATACCTGAGAGCTACATCTCCATCTGTCCAGTAAGAAAAGACATTTGTAGTAGTACCTCCTGGGCAACATCCAATCACAAGCATGCCAAGTGCTGGTATTGGTGGTAGCTGAAGAGCATGCGCAAGACCAAATGTAACAGCTGGAAGAACAACAAACTGCGAGAGCATTCCAATAGCGATTCCAATTGGCCTTTTGAGGTGACCAATAAGAATCTTTATTTCAACAGTATTACCCATTCCAAGCATTACAAGTATAAGTGTAATCTTAACACTGAAATCGGCAGCTGTTTTAAGAGGCGACTGTGACGTTGATGTAATGGTTTCATTAAATACTGTTTCATTTAGAGGATGTATATTACTTATACTGGTATTCTGAATGATTTGGAACATCCGTGGTTCATCCATCGCTAGATTATGAAGATTTCTGAAATACAAATACTGATGAGTCTTATGCATGTTATGTAAACGAAACGTGAGTCAAATCATAGGCCTGGTAACTTTGATGAGTTTTTACAACCACTGGGTCCATGCCACTGCTGGTGGACGTTTCGTCCCCGAGGGTATCACCAGCCTAATAGTCAGTATAGTCCTTGTGTGGATATGAAATGTCATTGATATGTTTATTCAATGTTTTTGTCTGTAATTTTAGCGTTGGTAAAATGGTAACAATTATTTGAAATACTTATGTTTTTCTAACTGCAGGCAAAGATAGCCTTAATTAGCTTCATTTTGCACAATTTATTTTTCTTTTTTCAGTGCTTTTCAATTTCGTATTTGATTTAGCTTTCTACTTGTCTTGGTTCGAGCGCCACTGGTGAGTCTTATGTTTTCGAAACCGCGCCATGTCTGGCGTAGCAAATCATAAGCCTGGTATCTTTGAAGAGTTTTTATTTTAGATTATATCATATTTAAAATGAATATATGATAACAATAATTAGATTTGGATGGTCTATTATGGGTACGTGTACCTTTACCATATAATCTTAAAATAAACCGAATGTGTCGTAAGTACACTGAATAAATAATTTGCATATTTGTGAACCGTGAATTCTTTGTGAAATATTGTAAAAATAGAATCGATAACTTAAATCGAACCGTTTAAATGTTCAGTCGATCCTCTCTCTTTTCTATATACAATATAGCCAAAAACAATTACTTATGTTTTACGGCTTGTACATATAATCGTGATAATATTAATCACAAAGTGTGCTACCAGTGACCTTATACAATATATTCGATATATACAAAAACAAATGCCAACAATAACAACCTGTTAGCTTTTAATATGTTTTCTGCATTTATTTTCAATCGAGCATCATCAATTTCTTCATCTGCGGTCCGGGCGAAACGTTTCATATTTTTCCTCAACGCCGTGTTGTATTTATAAAGGGACGAAACACCACTATTAACCGTATATCAAAAATAAAAACATGCCCACTAACCCCATATTGAATATAACAGGGTTTCCACGTGTTCTCTTTTGACCAATGATATTCCTAAAAGTGTATAGAAGGTAAGATAGAATAGTTTATCATTTAAGAAATAAAGTTCAATTTCTGTTTTTAAAATTACTATAATCCGTTTATTTCTTCAATTTATTCTTGTAAAAATATTAAAATCGACTTCATAAACACATATATTTCCAGGTTTCAAATGCGGTTCGTGTTGCCCAGTCTTTTTGGTTTTCTATGAAATATTTTTTACCATAGTGTTGTTGGTTTCTCTTTGATTTTTTTTTCATTTTAAGATTGTCTTTTTTTTGGTATCTTCTGCGCCTTTTTTTTATATCTAAAATGTTACCCTACAAATATATTGTTGGTATTGAAATTGTCTTGCTTTGCACACCTTAGTTTACTTCCAGTATTTATAGATAATTAATTACTACTGAATATCATAGTTGATATTTTCATATATTAAGCTTAAACGTTTCAATAACTCTTTATATTAACCATCAATATTATTATCAGAAATGTGATTAAATTTTGATGTTAATTTTTTTTATATAACATGAATAAGTTAACATAACATTAAGCACGTGCTTTGCGAACTTAATAATAACCTTCAAATCATTATATAAATATAATACCATTCATTTTAATTTAAAACATGACAATGTCTATCTCAGAAGTCATTAAACTATTGAGTTAACTTAACATAATGATATTTAAAAGTTATACATATTTATCAGTCAAATCTTACCTTTTATAGGTCTAAAAATGAAAAAGTCGTCTGCCAATTTTATATAAAGGGGGATAATCAATATGAAAATAATAATGCACTTCAGTAGTATGGTACGCCAATATCGATACAATTTAATTCAATATAGTTTCGTAAGCGGTAACTTGTCCTTGGTTGAAAGGGGAAGTTTGTACGTACAATTAGGTAACGACTGTTTGTTTTTTTTAGGGGAGAGGAAGTTGGCAGGAGGATTTTTCGAGGACGGAATGTACATTTCCACCAATTACTTGGCCGAATTATTTGTATATTTCATTTATTTCTTGCGTTATGTGGGTCACAATAATAATTTTCATCCAGTCTTGAACAAGATTATTATTTCCCACAATCTTTCTTTTTTCCACAACCAAGTTTTCGAGATTGCCGGTTTGTTTATTGTTAGAGGAATTTTCAAAATAAAACATTGTATAAAAATAAAGAGATGTGGTATGAATCTATCAGAAACCAATGGGCGAGGATGTAAACAACAATACGTTATTGTATTAATGAGTAAAGTCTAAAACATATAGGTATCTATAACAAGAAGCTGTCAGATTGACAGCAAACCAGATTTTCCTCCATAAAAATGATATTTGCAAAACTGGACCCCCAAACAGGATCAAGTAATAAAAATAAATGATTTATTGTAGGGTTCAGAAATAGAAGGGCCAAAATCAAAGTATCGCTTTTAGCTGTTTAAAGGTCTCAAACTCAACAAAGATATAATCTTAAATCGTGAAAATCAAACTCGACCTTCATTTTGTCACAGGAAACAAAATATCTAAATTTGAAAAGATTTCGTCAAAGCGTTTTCAAGTTATTGCACGGACACTGTTTGGCAGAAGCCCGCCCAACCTACCCTGTGCAAGACCGCCCGCCGTACATCACCAAATTAATAACCGAAATTTGCCTTTGGAAATCCGGTTAAAAAGGCACTGACATGACAAAACGTGAAACAATTATAAAGAGAAAACCAACAGCCTGATATTTGCTAAAAACAAAAAAACGAAAAACAATAATATGGCAGACAGGAACTATATAAATACAACCACGGACTTCTTCAGCGTTCACTTTTCCATTGTTGCATGGGGAAATATGTACGTCCTATTAGGGGACAACCAATTGGTTTTTTAGGGGGGAAAAGGGAGAGAGGGTTTTTCGAGGACAGAACGTGCATTTACATATGTTGCCTGCCTGAATAGTTTTATTGGGGTAAATTAACTGCAGGTAACAATAAAAAATTATATTATTATTACCTGCAATTTCCGTATAAAATCGTGTCTCTGTCCTGGAATGTACTTCGGCAATTGGAATTGGTCTCGGAAGGAGGCACTGGCAAAAAGTAACAATAAGATATAATTATTTTTACCCTGTCATCTTCTATGTTAATAAACAAATTTATGCAGCAAAATTAAACATTTTTTAGTAAGATAATGTATTTATCTAGATAATCAAATAATTTACGATCAACGCTTGTTTTCAAACAATAGATGATCTCTGTCACGTCCGCGTTGTTGTTGTTCTATTTAATGAACTTAGACGCCGAAAAGCGTATTGTTTTGATAAGAAATCATATTTATTGACCAGACAGTTTTTCTAGGACCGGAGAAAAGTGTTCATGATTCTTATTTTGATAAATATGAACATTCAATGAAAATTTAACCATGGGTATCGTAACCAAGGTATAAAAAGAAGTTGTAACGTAACCCTCAGTTAAAAGATTTAACCCTGGGTTATATTTAACCAAGGGTTATATTTTAAAACCGAGAGATGAACAACCGGGTCCTGACGTATTGACCAATATGGCGTTCACTTTTTCCATAGGGGGTCGATTAAAACAACTCACTATTCAGAGGAAGAATTTGTTCTAGTTCAACGAGAACATTAATATCAATCTGGTCAAAAAGTATGTTTACAATGAGTTGGAATTTCTTAAGAAAAAACCACGATATCACTGAAGAAGGACATAGCAGAAAGGAACTATTTAGTGTGCGGTATAGACGTGCATATAAATTATATGGATCTATAGTTTGCGACGTATGTCTGGAGTAACACCATCTGAAATGTGTTGGCATCAAAATGCTACATAAGGCTACACACCGAATGTGAAGGCAGTGCCAACAAAATGAATAGCTAAAAGAATTCTAAATATGTATAAACGTGCTTTGAATTTATCATTGCTATGTTCAATAAATAAATTTCTATTCATGTAAATTTGTTCAAATATGTAAAAAGTAAAATAACAAAAAAAAAAACAGAACTCCAAGGAAATTTAATACGGCAAGTCCCTTAACAAATGGGAAAATCAAAAGCTCAAACAAATCAAACGAATGGAAAACAACTGTCATATTCCTGACTTAGTACAGGCATCTCCTTATGAATAAAACGGTGGATTAAACCTGGTGTTATAGCTAGCTAAACCTCTCACTTGTATGACAGTCACATAAAATTCTATGATATTAAAAACAAAGTGTGAGCAATACAAACAGACATAATAGGTAAAAGTGTCAAAAATTGGGGTACAGCAGTCAACATTGTGTTATAATATTAATCACTATAAAAACAAACAACTATGTCAACAAAGAAAAACAAAATGGCATGTAGACACTCTATAGAAAACAACATATACGGGACAGTGACACGAAGATAGTACAAAGTATACCGATACTCCACATAAAAAAGCATAATTTGCAAATGTAAAATTTTGCTGGTAACAGTAAAACATGATATTATTGTTACCTGCAATTTCCGTATGAAATCGGGTCTCTGTCGGAAAATACATTTCGGCAATTAGTCTCGGAAGTAACAATAATTATTTCTTATTGTTACTTATTGCGGGTAATCGTAGCCAGTGCCTAAGGTATAACATGCTATTTGCTTTGCATCACGGTGCGCAGCTTTTAGTTTCAGTCGATATACACGCCATCTTGAAATAATTACTTATCACATATATATTCTGATTGGTTGCTTTATGATGCGGCTGAGATACAGCAACAGTTATTGGCTTAAATGAGATAAAGAATTACAGACTTTTCTCGTCTCAGGATAAGACATCAAATGCCGGAAAATTAACTATGTGTATTTCAGTTCCGATCAACTGTTATTAATTCTTGTTCGTTTTATCATGCATATATTGCACACTGAAAATCAATATTGATATATCAATTGTTAATATGTGTTTATTTGCTTTGTTAATCTGCAATATGCACGATTTGTTTTGCTAAACAATGTTCCTATACAATGTTTACAAAAATGCATTATCTGTATTTTATAACTTCTGCCAATCAAGGCACACCTCCAGAGTCGCGTCTATTTGTAAATGCCTTGGTTTTAATTGTTATTGTCTTCATCACTCGAAATCATGTTACTCTTAATCAACATACCTAAATATTCATATATATCTAAATAAATCATATACAGAACTAGCAATCAAAACCACAAGTCAATGACCAGCTGAAAGAACTAGAAAACCACACTCCACAAAAACACATTGACAACTAAACAATGAACAGCCAGTTGAAAATTTCAGAAAAGTTCATCTTAATATATATACAAAAATTGATATTCCAAGTCTAAGACATCCATTTTATATCAATCACTATCTAAAAATACCACATTTCCAATACTAAATCAACAACCACATGCACACATATTACCTTAAATTAGGATAGAGCGAAGCAGTCCACAGCTTTTTAGAAAGCTCAAACTTGTCTAAATTGGTTTCGGGGACTTCAAATTTATGGCATGTGAAAATTGGTGGAACATGTGGTAAAAACTTAGGTTTTTAAAAGATATGATTTGAATCTTTATGTGATAGGATTTTAACAACGATTTATATCTAGGTATAATATGGTATTCCAAATTAATTCCCACTATCAAGTTTTCGATAAAAAAAAGTCTTTAGTAAAAAAGAATCACAAATTTTAAGAAACCGACTTCTGTTCATGGATTTTACCGAAATTAAATTAGGTGGATTATGATATTTAAAATTGATAACAATAATTGTCTTTTATTCAAAACAATACAGCTTATAGAATTTACATATATAGATATAATAATAGCATCAGTGATTAATTACATATACGTTTTACAATTACAAACAGTTTGAATCATTGAATCATCGGCGGAGAATGACAACAAATAATATAAATAATGAAATATAAGCATTGATTTATGAATAACGAATCTTATCAGCTAAATAAAGGTATTTACCTATATTGTTAAGCTCTTTAATATTATGAACAGACAATAATTGTATAAATTTATAATAAGATGTTTTTTTTCCAAAAAATGGTTTTATATATTTGTTCCTTATATCAAAATATTTGTCACATACTAAAATATAATGGTATTCATCTTCAATAAGATTTTTATCACAAATATTACAAACCTGTTTTCTCTTTCAATATTACAAAATTTCCCGGTTTCAATGTTAAGACATTTTGCAGACAATCTATATCTACAAACATATGCCTTATACACATAGTTTATCTGGATCGTGTATATATCTATAAAATTGACACTTTGAGGACTCATTGAAAAAAGCATTCATTTCAGTCACAAAACTACCTTTCATTCTATTAACAATTTCTTGCAAAACAAATCAATATTAATAACATTTTGGTGTAACCATACATTTTAACAACCATAACGAAATAATATGTTTCTTATTTCACATGCCCAGTTTTGTTTATCACGAAGTTTTATCTTTCTAACATTTCTTGGTAGCAAGAATGTAAAATACAGTTATCTGTGTTTAGTAATTTACACCAATATTTAAGCATTCTGCAATATCTCTCTATGTACAAAGGGTATCTACCCAACCTGGGACTATTATACTAACTTATAATAGTCCCAGACCCAACTCACTATATACCATATAATTAACAGTAGATGTTTTAACTTTCAATATACGTTTTAAAAAGCTTAGGTGAACTTTCTCAATATTTTCGGCTTTGTGATGTCCCTAAATGTCAAAAAAGAGATAACATAGTTTCATGGTTAAAACAATCGTCATATATTTTACTA